CCCCCCCCCCCCCCCGACTACACTGAACCCCCTCGTTCACCTGGCTGACGGTGTACGTGGCCCCTAGAAACATCTTGGAGATAGACATGGAGATGGGGATCGCCGCCTGCTGCAAGAGAACGATCATGGCCGCGTTGTTGATATAGTTGACGGCGAAGACTCCCATAATGCCAGCCACGCTGTCCAGGAGACCCATCACCGCGAACTTGAACTTGGGAATGGCCCTCTGCGCCGGCGTGATAGCAGACCTGACGCAACACACACGCGCGTGTTACTGTTAGACAATATACCAAGTCTAGTCCCAGAAAGACTACTCGTTTGTAGACAAAACCACAGTCCTTTCAGTGAATGAAGGGGAACTGGCTGAAACTGGGCTCTATCTTGAGTCTGTTGAGGCCTACGCACTGAATGATACCACTGATACTGTGTTATTGTACGCAACTGTTGAAATGATGCCTTTTAATTGACCAACCAAATTGAGATGCCAGACAAGACGAACTACAAGTGTGAAAAGAGAAAATCGTCCTTGACAGACGCTGGGGAGATTGAACCCTTTGATAAAAGTAGATCTCCACGCAAAGAAGTAAACAGCACGGTTAAGGCTGTTGACCCAAACATTGCAGCAGGAGGAAACAACGCAGCAAACAACTGCATGAAGGCAGGAAAGCCACTGCCGCAGATGCGGGCTAGCTCGGTGGTAAGAGAACCAAGGGCCTGCATCGTATTTCACAAAGTACTTCAAACGGGAAAACGCTTATGGTCTGGACCAAATAAACAAACACGGCTCCTTGCCGCTGCTGCCGCCATCGAGAACTAACGCCTTTCGTACCTCCAACACCGAAAACGGTTTGCTATTGCACCGCCGTTAGAAGGTGAAACAAACTCCCTAAGCTTAACAGAGGAACTCCACCGAGCCGTTTCGCTCCTTCACTACGAATGCCTCTCAAGCTTTGCGAAAGGGCTGCTAAAACAACAAGGGCGGCTGCCCACACCAGGCTCTCACCCGAACGCGAGCATAGGTACGATGTACAGGAAGCACACGGGGACGTAGATGAAGGTGCTGAGCATCGTCAGGAAGAACGGGTAGTTGTACATGGGGTACGTCTGCAGCTTCATGAAGATGCGGTTGCCCGTCCCCACGAAAATCATAACGACGAACGCTATTACCTAGCAGGCATTTGAAAAATCGCACCGGGGGGAGGGGGGGGAAGGGGGGAAAGCTCAAATTCTGCATGCCTTTGACCATTCACCACTCGTCCTCGAGAGGACGGAGCATTGTTCCCACAGGACCGATCACCGATGGCCAATCGTTCCAGGAGGGGGTGGGGGGGTTATCGGTTACACCTGTGCAGGCTCGAACAAGGTGTGGTTGCCCGATGGCACCAACATCATCACCAATCAAATCGTCAATAGTAAATAGGCACGTCACAAAAAAAAAAAGAACATCCGTCAATGAAACGCGAGGAGGGCTCATACGATCCTCTTGAAGCTGCAACAATGTCTTGCCTTTCTGTTCGCATGACAAAATATCACCAGCACTTACCGGGAACGGGTGTTGGTTGCGCCAACACCATAAACGGTGGTTTTGGAAACATCTCGTCGAGGGGTTTCCGAAGACATTCATGTGTCGGGCTCTTTCCGCACCTATGCTACCTGGTGTCGAGCGGTCGAGCTTTGAATGTCTGTCTAAGGGGGGGTGCCGTATCTCCGCTTCTTACGGAATACCACGGTACGGAATACGGTACGGTACAGACAATCTTGATCGTGGAGTAATCGAGCTTTGAAAGTCTGTCTAGGGGGGGTGCCATCTCTCCGCCTCTTACAAGTAAGGTATCTTCATTTTTGGAAGTAGCATCATACGATAGGACTCGAAGTTTGAATCCCAAGGGTCGAAGGTGGCTAATCAACGCTTAAGAGACCGCACGTGTGTTGCCGAAGTGGGCTTCGGGGTCGACGACATAGTGGCACGCAGCCGCGTTCTGACCGAACTCAACAACACAGAAAAACAATACCAAGTACAAAAAATGATGGTATTGACCAGAAAAGACAAGGCTTGGAAAATTCTCGCCAGCGTGGAGCCATCCTCCGAGGAAAAAAACAACCATACTTGACACGACATAAATAGGCCTGGAAAAATTCTCGCCAGCGTGGTCCCACCACCCGTGGAAAAAACATTGTTAATCCAATGTGAGAAAAATATTGGAAAAATTCTCACCAGCGTGGTGCCATCATTCCCCTTCGGCTTCTCCGGCGCGGGCTTCATGCCCCCCACGACCTTTACCAGCGGGGACCTGGCATTGTTTTTCCCGAAGCTGGCCTTGCTCGGGCCAAAGCCACCGTCTTCTTCCTCTCTTGCTGCGGCACCGTAGGAGTCCGTGTTGGTGGACCCCCTTCTCCACTGGGCCGTGTCGTGCCAAAACAGCGAGGAGGAGGCGTGCATTGCGTGTGCAGCAGCTTCGTCAGACAAAGGAAGGTTAAGCTTCACTCAAGACCTTGAATAATTGCCGAGTGAAGAGACATGAGGGATGAGGCAAGAGGAGTCCTACGTGTCATGTCCATCACACCCATACCACCATCCACGTACCCTCCCTCCCCCCGGAGGGGGCGTAGATCAATACTCTGCCGAGCACCCCAAACAGAGTGTGTGTGAGCGCGTGTTTTCAACAAGATTGGCGTCGTTACCTCGCAGCGCTAACCGGCTGACCGCGTAAGAAAATAGCAGCTAGCAGAAGCAGAGGGACAGAAAAAAAAACAACACGCCCTTTGTACGTGTGGGTGCGGCGGCGTGTGTGCTTCTCTTGTTGGCTGAAACCATGGTAACCCCGTGGCCTAGGAAGAGACGTTAAAGTATGAACATCTTGACCTGAACACATCAACACCACACACCTCGTGTTTCCTTCTTTAATGTTCCTGCACCAGAAACAAAATGTTCTCTTCTACAGTAGTAAACCACCTCTATCCATAGGTGGGATCTGGGTTCGAGATAGAACGGCGATGATTTTTCGGACATTCCAATGCACCCCCTTGTTCTTGCAACACGAATAGACCGTCAATTCAGGAGGGGAATTCGTTGCACCCTACCCCCACCTGCAGGAGAGCCTCGTTCAACTTGGTGCTGGAACCGTAGCTGCCGCTGCGATGCCTCGCCAAGGTGGCTTTGCTCAAGGACGCGCGGGCTAACAACTTCTCGCGCTCGTCATTGCTCGTCGAAGAAGACGTCGCAGCTGCAGCTCCTGTCGTTCCTGCTGCCCGGGTGCTGCTGCTGCTGGCGTTGTAGACAGAAAAATGTCCCGGGGGGGGTGGGGGGCAGGGGGGACAAATCATCATGGAGGTGTCCCGGTTTTCTGCATACTATTTCTTCTGCTTTGCTCCTATTTTCTACTTCTTCGTGCGTACTGTTTTTGGGCAGTTCTCTGTCCCTCTGGCGTTACATAGAAAATATGTATTCAATCAAAGAAACACTACCCATTCGAAAAAAAAACGCAGCAGTCGAAGGGGATTAGTTGTGTGGAAGATCAGCTGGGGTGAGACTTTCCCTCTCCCACACCATCTCCTCTTCTTCGCTATTGTTTCCATCCCTCTCGGGTCTTCAATTTCCTCCTCCTACCATTCTGCCATTATTTTTGTCTCTTGCGGCCAGCACCATTTTCCCTCTCCTCGTCGCCACCTTGCTTCCAGTTCTCCATCCCTCGTCCCTCCCCCTCTGCATCATCGCCATTATTCCCATTTTCTCTATCCTCTTCTCAGTCGCCTACATACCGGTCGCCCCGGTGGTCTAGTGGGTAGCCTCGCAGCCTGCTAAGGGCCAGGTCATGGGTTCGAGTCCCGGCAGGGAGAGTTTTTTTCCCACTAAATAAATCCTGGTCTAGGATGAAAGCGACGCGCTGCAAAGCTCGTTTGTTAGTAAACCATAATTGACTTCGTAAGTCGCGAGGGAAGGGATTGCTGTACCCTTCTCGCGAAAAAAATACCTCAGGCATGAACCGCAGGAGGGGGTCCAACCCCCCCCTCCTATGTGACCCCGGTTGGGTCGTCTAGCTAGTAGAAGTGGATAGGGGCCAGAGGGGCAGACGACAGAGTCCAATGATGGGAGAAAAACAAAAAAACAAAAAACAAAATATGATGGAAATCCCGAACACATTGGCTGCTAGGTGGGATTTGGTTGGTCGCGACCATTATCAACCCTATGACTTGGAAAGACGTCACGTATTCGCGTTGCTGATGGACATGAGCGAGAACTCAAAGGTAAAATGTGGGCGCTATAAATAGTCTACAATTTTCCGTGCAACTAACTGAACGTATGCACATCAACGGTGGCCACACAGGAGGAAAGTAACATCAGAACAGGAGGAGTGCATTTACTGTACAGCGTCGTGGCTCCGACATAAGAGGGATGGTGTGGTGTGAAAGCCCTCGAGCCTCTTAAATCGCAGCCCTCTCTTACACCGGATTAAGAGTGTACTCAACTTTTGTACACTGCTGTAGAGGGGTCGACGAGTGCGTGACAACCGATTTGGACCCTCGTATATCGGAGCCTCCTCTTGACTATGAGGTACCCTCTGGTTCGGAGCAATGTCTGTGTTGCACAATGTAAGATACGTGTCTGCAATCCCTCACACCCGCAATTCCTCTAAAAGAAGGCCACCACTTGTGGTGCGTGTCGTGTTATGATGTCGCGTGCATCCTTCGCTCTCGGCCTGTTATTTACACAGTTGATTTTGACAATCGACACAACCCATGTTGCGTGTGTGAACAAGTTCATGGACCTTGCCGTTGGCACGTGCATGTGCATTGGGCGGCATGCAGTTGCCCCCGAAGAGCCAGGCGTTATCAAGTGTCGAGCACGAATCGCTTCGTCTGCACCAGCGGAAAAAGAACAATCTACGAAGAACTAAGGTAGACTTTTATAGTACTCACGTAATAGTCGCTTCCTGTGTCATGCATCAGCATGTTGCACAAAGCTACTCCGCCGAGAATATCTAATGCATCAGGCGAGGAGCGGACCGCGACTCGTGAAGGTGAAGTTGGTGCACCTAGAACATCGAATTGTACTCCGTACAAGGTACTGGTTGTCGCTGTCGTCGCATCGAAAATATTTCCAGTCTCTACTCAAGAGTACTTTGTAACGTCCGTGCAGCCACTGACGCGCCCGCCTTCCGTGGTACCCCACAAATTGAAAGGGTACTGGGTGCTTGTGTATGCATGCAATACAAGTACAAATACACACGCGTCTGCATGGATATACAAAGGCGTCTGGCACAGAACTAACTGGACGACCTGTTGACTCTTCTGGCTACACTCCAACCATCCTTTTCGTGTAACATACAGCTTTGCATAGCGTGTACTGCTGTAGAATATGCAGATCAGTCGCTTTCGCCACGCAACAACGAAGAGCCCGTGGGCTGCTTGCTGTACTTAAAACCAAAGAGATACGTGGCTGGATGTGGATCGGGATCATATGCCTACATATCGCTTGCCTACCGACCCTGGTTTTGATTGTGATGGCCTACATCCGCGGATGATGGGGGTAAACCTGGTACGCATAGGCGGCGAACACCCAGCACTCTTGCTCTCTCTCTCTCTCTCTATCTCACCCTTGAGCGGCTGTCTCCGGTGATGTGCCCATCACCCGTCTCCGCCTGTTCTGTCGTAACTACACACCAGCCGGCCAAGTCTGCCAAACGGCCGGCGTTGTGTTAGACCTCGGAGTCTCTCGGCGTACTGTTCCCAGGACCGGCGGGTAGACTCTCTCCTGGAACAAGGGCACGCGTGGATGACAGTTCTATACCAGCCAAGGCAAACGTCATCGAGTCAGCTATGGCAGCAGGCCAGCTGCTGAGGGAAGCTCTCACGACCAACATGCCCCCGGACACGCTGAAAACCCGCCGCAGCGGGGATAGGGGACACATATTTGAAAAAAAATATCACAATCTTCAAATCTTAATCTTGTATCTTGCACGAGACTTGAGCCTTGATGCAGCATCATGCCCAGTTTGCATTTAGGTTGCACATCAGCCGGCCCGTTCCAGAGGGAAAAACCTAATATACGTTAAGCAACACTCAAAACTTGTGCAACAAGCGTCTCAATGATTGAGGCGTGATTACTATGCTACGACATTTTAGTTTTTGCTACAACATGTACGGGTCTGTATAGTAACGGTCGCCGATGTATACAAGCTGGGCCAGCCAAGGCGCAAACATTCGGTCGTCCAGCCATATCTCGTGAAGGAATTAGAATTGGAACGAGCTTGGCATATCTGCTCAATCAGCCAATCACAGCGGATGTGCAGCTGTCTCTCAAGAACCCTGCTTACACGTTTTCTCAAACGAAGAAAACCCTCCGCATTTCATATAGGTTTTAGACAAGCAAAAAAAAAAGCTGAAACGTTTTTTTTGCGGCGGAAAAAAGACTTTTTGAAAAAAATGGTGCACAACGGATGCGCACACACAGCATCCGCTGCTGGCACCGAGAGCGGACAGCATGGAGCCCGCCCTTGCAGCACTCAAAACCAAGGGGTAGCAGAAGACCTCTGTCCCATCTTACTATCTAGATAAGAGTAAAGGCAAGTGGCGGCTTTGGCTGAACTTCACAACACGGAAAGGAGCCAAGCCACAGAAGAAGAATGGGCCGTTGTGCGAGACAGAGGAGGGCGCCCTTGCAGCCAGGCTGCCTTCAGGCTTCGCTGGGAGGCCAGCCAACGTGGTCGGCCCTGCACACCAAGCAAGGAGGATCTAGACTCAGCATCTATCGCGAAGGACACTTCGCTTCCAGCAGGCAAGTCGTGAACGGCGTGTGCATGTACAGATCATCGTCATGCAATTTTGAATTTCTCGGCCGCAGCAACGGCAGCACATGTGACAATGCAAGCGATTGCTGTTGTACCTGCAATGGTATGCGCAGCCACTGTGCCGCGGACTGGACTTACGCGTCGTGTTTTTTTTTAAAGGAAGTGAAGTAGGCGGCACTTGTACAATAGAGGTGGTTGCGTCTGTTGAATTGCACGAAGTACACGACTACAAATCTTTTCATGAGCGATATATTTTTTGAATTTTCAACGGTATTCTTCGCATCCACAAGTGTGATCATACGACGTGATACCCACGTCCACATGCGTTGCCTTCATCACTTGTCTATTGTTCGGGTACTAGAGACGCCTACAGCAGTAGGTACAGCAATTTTTGCTCAAGTTCGTTTCCTATAGCCCCGGTGTGTTCTGCTGCAACGATGTGCTACTGTATGTGACACAAGATAACACACCCCCTGGACCGATTTGACAGCTTGATTAATCAACAGCGCAAAGAGGACCAGCGCCGAAAACGGCGGCGTTGAAGCCGTCTTGTCAAGAGCTCTTCGAGAACGTATCGGATAGTTCATGATTCCTCTTCGTCGTGTTGTACTTCGGTGTTAAAATACAGATTCATGCATCATGCTCCAAACACATGTTGTAGATCGCCGAGGTAAATTTTTGCATGAAAATGCGCCGACGTCGTCACACATTGCAACAGCAGTAGGCACTGTTGACCAGTTTTCGTTGCCCTCTGCACATTGTATCCTGCTTCTGGGGTGGTCTCCAACTCCATAATATTCGCTGCTGCTGAATAACAACGAAGACGTGCCGCCCTACCGCCTTCTTGCAATTCCCAACCGCTGCTCATCATGCAGGGAAATCGTGCAACAGCATTGGGATCCTCAGCGCCCCGCAGCAGTCCAGGTTCAAGCGAGAGGACAGTTCTGCAGCACCTGGTAGAGAGAAGGGGACACATCCTTTTGTTGGCTCCGAAGTGTCACCCAGAGGTAGCGGGGGTAGGGACCAAGTACTCGTGGGGTTTATCCAAGCAAAAGTTTCGGCGGAAGATCAATGATGAGGTCCCGAAGCACTTGCACGCGAACATCGAAAAGTCGCTGTGCACCGACAAGTACTTGACGGTCGGTCGGGTGCGGCGCTTTGCCCGGCGGACACGAGATCACTGCCGGGCTTACCGCGACATTGCGCTGAGCGGGGGATTCATCATGAGCAAGGATTTCATCGAGAAGATGCGCAAGAACCAAAAGGCCCACCGCAACATTTTGGACATGGAAACTAGTTTTCTTGGCGACCAGTAAAAAAACGTCGGCCGGCCGATACCAAAAGGGGGGTCACGAGTTGGGTGCGTCTTGTAGATATGCCTGTTGAAGAGGGTGTGCATTTGTATTTTGTTGTTTGCCTGTACTTTGACTGTGCGATAAACGGCCGTTTAAGTGTGTGGTACTGTAGAGTTAACCGCTGGTAAGAACGCAGCTTTTTGTGTTGTACATTGTACAACGAAACGCCAAGTTTTGTGTACAACAAATTATACTTCATGGACTACAATCGATGCAATTTGCAGGGTTGACCTCAGATTTCAAGCTTGTTCTGTAATACCACGTCATCATGGCAACCGTGCCCCTCCCCTACGGGGATAGAGTCGGGGTGTGTGCTCCTGTTGCCATCAGTTCGCTTTCGCACCCGTTTCGTGGGCTGTGAGCCCTTCATTTTCCTATATATATTTTCGCCCCTGCACCCAGGTGTCGAGGCCAAAACTAAATAGTGTAATTACACCACGACTTTTACGAGTTGGAATCTGAAGTTTTGACATGTGGTCGGTATTAGTACAACCAAGACCTTGACTGGAAGCACTTTTTTTTTTTTAGTCCCCCTATACACAAAAAAAGGATCACCATTTCTCCTATAATAGGGCTACCTCGTGAAAAAAAAAGGGGTGCTTCAAGTCAAGGTCTTGGTTGTACCAATACCGACCACACGTCAAAATTTCAGGTTCTAATTCGTAGAAATCGTGGTGTAAACTGTGATCAACCATTTTGCATGCAACTTGGCTGGCCCAGCTTGTAACAACTCAGTTTCTCCCTTCAATTTTCTTACTGCTGCTCTGAAAAGTCTGGCTGGGTTTTGTGGGGCTCTTTTGCTCGGACTGGTGGTTGGTGGTGTGTTTCAATTATCATATGATGAAACACGCCGGGGCTATAGACAGCAGCAACATTTTCGCAGGAGACCAGATAATGCCGAGCGATGCCACGTGCTATCACCATCTTCTCGAGGCTCCATAAAACCTGAGCAGTTGTCATCATCCCAACCACGACAACAGACCGAGCCTCTCCTTCATTCTGTTGCTCGCCTTCTTCGATGCGTCCGTCTATCTCCCGGAGACGCCAGCTACTTGCTTTTCCTCGAATATGATTGACTGGATGGCCGGCCTCTCTGTGTGTCATCTCGAGAAAGCATGGACATAAAATATCTTGTTGTTGTCATGCCGTGTTTTCTTTCAGGGAGAGCTCATTGTTTTCGCCCACGGGTGGATGGATGGATGGATGGATGGATGAATGCGCTGTTGCGTCGTGGGGCCGTGAGACCTTTCATATGTACGCTCTCCCTCGCGGTGAGACCCGCCCGCCTTGCACACTTGTTTGAATGAGCCCCAGGCTCCCCATCATCATGTACGGCTGTGTGCAAGGCGTACATAGGTGACACAACTTGATTGGTGACTTGTGGTTACGAAACTGCGCCCGCCCCCGCCCCATTATCTAAATCGCTCCCGAACAACCCTTGTTGTCATCTTGCCTCGTGGCCAACCCCAAACAACCCGGGAATGCTGTTTGCCTGGAGGGTAGAAAAGTAAAAGGCAGAGAGGCCGAGTCGCATATACATACAATATTGCGGTCAACTTCTAAACTTTCATCGCTCTCGAGCCGGAAATTTCTCAACTCAGGTTCTTACCGTAGTGAGTGGTGGCGAGTGTGGAGAGAGTACGAAAGTAAATTTCTACACTTAGTAACTAAAGGACCGTGTAAATTGCTCCGTGTGTTGGGCACAGAGGCTGGAAATGGCGGAGGAGCAAACGAAGAACCCACAGCTTTCGAGATGATGCGGATGCTAGATATCTGTATCCTACGTGGTCGTTGCGGCGGTGGCAAGCGGAGTTCCGTGTGCACGACTAGAGCAAGAAATATTTAGTAGTGTGGCCTGTTACGGTATGGGTACTTCTTGCTGGGTTTGGCTGGGTGTTTGAAAGCACATAAGAACCCCCCCCTCCCATTCTCGGTGTTTGCCATCGGGGTTGGGTTTTCGTCGCTTGGCAACGTGGCCCGTGATGGTGACTCCTAGTCTCAGCTGTTACCTCGAATAGCGCGCAGAGGGAGTGGAGGACTCCAAAATATCTATCTGTCGTTGATTTCTATTGACTTGTTGACCCCTCGGGGCCAGTTTATTTGAGTGTACCTTGATAGGGTCAAATAACCTGTGACCACGGGAATCGACCGCGTCGAGTGTTGGATCAGAACGGACAAACGAAGGTACTGGGTCGAGATCGGAACGGTATTTTAATGTGAAGACAACAACATCATCATCAACAACAACGACGTTGTAAAACAAGCCGATCACTTTGTGAGCTCGGCAATCAGGTTGTTATCGCTTTTTTTATTGCCTCTGTTTTTTTTTTCCGCGGTAAACATAGTGAATGGTGGTCGAGCAGATCATGTTGTGCGGGGCCGAGAATCCTCACTCCGCGCAAAGGAGATGGTGACACCACGTTGTGTCAAATTGGTCAAGCACCCTCGAGGCAGTTACAAAGTGCGTTTATCTGTCTCTGGAAGTGAAACACCAGAAAATAAAGAAGTCATACGCAGCTGTCGCACACAAGGAAGTAAGCACAAGGTGCCAAATACCCTTAGCAGGATGCAGCGCACCCTTCATGCGACTCGCCGAATATCTCACGGCGCTTCGCGCTTGGTGATGTGAGAGCCTGGTCCGGTGAGAACCCGGCGTGCTCCGTCCCGGCTTTGTAGGGATGCGAGGTCAATGATCTAACGACTACGGCATGCACGACGTATGACAGCAGCAAACGTTGAGCGTTCAGTCTGTTCATAACTAGTTTACGGAGATACGCACGCTCTCATGTTCTTTTATGTCATCAGACCATGTGGCTTACCTCTGCTGTGAGTTCGATCAGGCAAAGCAGGCAGGTTAGCGTATCAAGACTTCGCAAGCAATCGCTATCCAATGTCCACTCCGTGGGGTCAGCGTTCACAGCAGTTCACCGTTAGGCACGTATCGTGGCAGTTAGGCGCACAGGCACAGTGGCAATGGTACAGATCTCCTTCTCACACTTGGTGGTGATCAGCATCGCCAGGTNTATGACAGCAGCAAACGTTGAGCGTTCAGTCTGTTCATAACTAGTTTACGGAGATACGCACGCTCTCATGTTCTTTTATGTCATCAGACCATGTGGCTTACCTCTGCTGTGAGTTCGATCAGGCAAAGCAGGCAGGTTAGCGTATCAAGACTTCGCAAGCAATCGCTATCCAATGTCCACTCCGTGGGGTCAGCGTTCACAGCAGTTCACCGTTAGGCACGTATCGTGGCAGTTAGGCGCACAGGCACAGTGGCAATGGTACAGATCTCCTTCTCACACTTGGTGGTGATCAGCATCGCCAGGTAGGCATCGGATGTAGGAATCCGATACGGGTACCCGCGGATTGGAATCAAGAGGTGGTGACACAACTGGAACCTCGATCCTATCAATCCACGCCCTCCATGCTCAGAGTAGTCACCTCTGCGCACTTCAACGTACCTAGTTGCCTGTGGTTATATAATCCTCCAGGCTCCCGTGGGAATATCGGTCTATCGCCGCTACACTCCCCCAGCATCGACCGTGGTTAACGTCGGTGCTAAAGAGGCGGTCGGTAGAACCACCCACGGGTCGAGCCCCCACCCGAGGTTACGGCGAGGTAAAAACCTAGAGAAGGGGACTCTCCCATCTTCGCCGCGGTCGATCTTGGAGCTGAAGTCGACGTGGGAGATGGCCCGATTGAATCTCTTGGGCCCTCCTCCAAAGAAGCGGTGGCCGTTAATGGCGGTGCGCAGGAAAAGTCCTCTGGGGCGTTGTAGGCCCCCTCCTGGTGTCCCCCAGCGCTCTTCACCTCCGCTATACCCCCCCAGACTGCTAACCGTCTCGGCAGCAGGCTCGCGGCAGTGGAAGCGCCAGGTTGTACTCAAGCAGGAAATGATGGTTGGGCACAACTCCGATGCCTTGCTCCACTTCCCGCTTGGAAAGCTCCTCCCAATCTCCATCGGGGTATTCCACCTGCCAGTACGGGTTGCAGTAGTCGTACACCTTGGCCTTGAACACTTTGGACTGTCCTTCGGCGTTGGTAAGGTCCTGCCCACGACGGAACCGCAAGGAAACATTTCCAAGGCTCGCTCCCGGGATTCCACCTCACGTTGTCCTCGCGTGGGTTCTCCCGGTGGCCGAGGTTCTGAATCGGGGTGATGAAGTTCCCAAAGCGCGTAGAAGACGTCGAGCTGTAGCGCCGAAAAGCTGTCGCGTGTTTCGTCCTCAGTGATCCAGCTCGATTGTATCCCATCCTGGTATCGACCTCGATACTTCCACGCCCATGTGCCAGCATTCTTGCCCTGTCCAACCCTCCGAGCTGTCAGGGTGTAGAGGGGTACAGCGACCACGGTCAATCCCAAGGAAGCCGACCAGATGAGATGGCTGAACTCGTCCTCGAAGGGTAGTTGGAGGTGTGTGGGACGCCGGTGGAAGGGCTTCATGTCGGCAGCCACTACTCGGCGTTGTCGGATGCGTCGTCCGTTGAGTTGGATCGTGAAGCACAGCCGAGCCAAGAGAACGTTGATGACCGTCCACGGTCCCATGAAATGCTCATATGCCAGTTTCGGGTGCAGGCTATCTCGGTAGAGGGAGACGGAGGTCTCATGGACCAGCACCAGGTCTTCGGTCTGCGTCTTGGCTCCCGGTGACTCACGGGCGACCCTGGCGTTGTGGCGTTCCAGTGGTTTAGTGAGAACCTCCTGCCTCTTGGCGAGAATTTGTTGCGTGAGATGATGTTGGTCCTCGAATCTCTCCAAGCCTTGGCCGAACGAAGCGCTGTCCAAAGGCTGGGCAAAAAAGTCGACGTAGCTGCGTGGCGGCCGACCAAAAATTATCTGGTACGGCGAAGCCCCTCCCGGCAGGGCCGGATCGGGCGTAACCCGGTGGATCCATGTTGCTACGGGAACGTAGTCGTCTCACCGCTGGGGCCATGCTTTACACAGGAGGAAGAGGGCTTCCTGCAGCCACCCCCCCAT